ATTATATATATATATATATATATAAAATTAGTTTATTTAGTTTTATAATAATTAGCATCAAAATGATACCAACAATGACTTCTAATTTATTAACAGATTAAAAATGATTGCACTAAGTAACTGACTAGTCAAACTTTGAATAAGTAACCAAACATTGATAATAAATAGAACTAGGTAACAGATTATTCAAACTTTGAATAAGTAACAAATTTGGTCAGATGTGAACTCATTAACTATAATTATTGTATACAGACAGACCATCAGCATTGTTACAGCCAAGCAGTATGCTTAATTTGCAGTAAATGCAAATTTAATGTTTCTTATGGAAAAGACAAAATCAGATTTTTTTTTTCCACAGCAAAAAATGCTAAACCTATAGTCCATTAAGATCCTTGTCCTGAATAATTTGGTTCCTTAATGTCATTTTGAAATTTGTCAAGTCAAAAAAATACACAAAAAGCAACCGTTTAAGAATAACTATGTTAGATGAATATATTTATAATATTGTTTAAATATGACTTATATTTAAATGACTTAAAATTATATTTTATCTTTAATATCATGAATACATGTCTTTCTTGTGTTGTTTTTGATATTTTTAATGTTATGTTTGAAGGATTAAATAATAATTTTTTAAAATTTGTTTTTCTTATTAATATCTTAATTAAGAAAAAATGTGTTACAATATAATGGTAATGGTATATAAATAATATTTATTTTTTCACTTATATATATATATATAATATTTTATTTTAGGTGTGAGCATGTAATAATCAAATTTTCTTAGTTATTTCATGTAATTTTATACGTATTCATCGGAGATTAAAATTATATTTATTATCTCTGTGAAAAGATGAATATTAACTTTTTCTAAATCATGGAAAATGGATACTATAGTATCCATTATGAGTATTCAAAACTTTTTGGTACAAAAAATTACAAATTTATAGTTTTATTGATTAATTAGGGTTTAGATGAGTAGGAATAATTGCTAATCTTTAAATACACATAAAACTGGTACCACTTTCATTATGCAACTTTTTTATTATTTGCCATTTATTTTCTGTCATAAACACGTTTCCATAATTTCTCTCTCAGTTTGGGAAGAATAATTATTTTAGGAACTCCAAATCATGTGAAATAAGTAATTTTGTTTTAGAAATCATTGTGCATGGGTAATTTGGCTTTTATTTATAAAGAATTTTAGTGATTTAATATTTTATTTTTATATATTTATTTACACTTTTTTATAATAGATATAATTTGCTTTTTAAGTGTATTTTTATCATGAATTTGATAATGTTCTATTTTTTGTTTTTTATTCCATTTTTCATATAAAATTCGATTAAAAAAATCTTGTTAATTTATTATTTTTAAATCTACTTAAATAAATAATAATAAAAATTTATTTTTAAATTTTTTTAAATTTATTGAATCATTCTTTTTCAAATCTATTTAAGTCAATAAAGTGTTGTTAGAAATTTTGAAGACAGAAGTTGTTAGTGAGGGAAGTTGCAGCATATTAATTAAGCAGCATCGAGCACACGTGAAGGAAGGAGGAGATGCAGTAAATCAGAGTAGATCAACATTTAAAGGAGTGTTTCACCAAATTGCCGGGGTTTGAAGGCAATGTGTGCTGCAGAATAACTGCACTTCTGACTCCAACAGAAACCACGTGTTTAGATTTATAACCTTCTTTTTGCATTTTCACAAACATGTTGTGATCATTAACTCTCCACGTAAACCTTTAACTTTTCTACCACTCTAGCTACTACCTTCTCCCATCTTAAATTCAAAAACTCATACTTAAATATCAATATGTTTAAATTTTATTTTAAAAGTGAGTTTTATACAAAGCTAGACTTAAAGTTTATTTTTTTAAGACAGTAAATACTTATTTATTATTTGTTAAACTTGATCTCAACTCTAAATGTGTATATTTTAATGTATAATAAGTGTGTTAAAGATTCATTTTCAAGAAGAATATGTTAATAAAATAAATTTAATTTTTTTAAGTGAGTTTGTTAGTTACGTAGTTTCAATCTATAAAGGTCAATATTTAGTGTGTGTTTTTATGGTTGAAATTCAATTCTCATGTAAAAATAGACAATAATATATAGTTTGATTTTACATTCACAAAATAAAACATCAAAGTTCATAAAAAAAGAGGTTTATCGATATTAGATTTATCGGCGGAGAATATTTATTAGAAAGACACAACGATAATGAAAAATGAATAATCATATAAAAGATTGATATAATTCTCAACCCAAAAGATAAATAAATTAATAAGTTTTCATCCTTATATGATATTTTATTTTAATTTTTCGTTTTTATCCAATATAAAATTTAGTCTTATATTCAAATTTTCAACTATCAAAATCTAACTTTTTGAAATATATAATAATATTAATAATTAGATTAAAAAACTTATGTCTAACTTTACGTTTTATATATCCATTAAACTCTTCACGTGCAAGACGATAATTTAGATGTTTAAAAGTGATAAAATCATAATTATTAATCATAATTAATGGTGAGTGAGCATTAATGTTTTGATAGGTTGACCATAGACCAATCCTAACATACTATAAGTAAGCATAAAGAGTGGCATAATCTAAGAACATAAGTGTGTAACCTAATTTGTGATAATATTTATATCTTGTAGTTTATTTACTTAAATAGGTAACATTCTTGTATGTTGGAGGGTTTGAAAATTAAGATGGCTCTGTGTTTTTGAAGTCATTTTCAGACATTGATTGGAGGTTGGTGTCCCTTTTAGGGTTCATTGTCTTGTCAACAATGCTGCACATTTTATATGTAACATGACAAACATGGCAATCAATTCTTCATAAGATGTTCCAAATGTTAGAAAATCAGACATCACTCTAACAACTTTAGTTAAAGCAATTAATTAATTAATTAATAAATTAATTAATTGGTGATGTCATCATCCAGTTATCCTAGGACCTGCTGGAGAGTAAATAATGATCCTAGCCTAATTAATTAAAACAGCAAGACTAATAGTAATCTGTCAAAAAATTAAGAAAAAAACGTATGATTATTATTTATTGGTGCATTCTTTTTGGCATTGTGTTCATATATGATTCTCAAATTTTTAATCTAATCTGATTGGAGGTTTTTCTATAAACAACTTAAGCAAACCTAATTAAACTATAATCAGGTTAGATTAAATTGGCTTATCAAATTAAATAATTAAAAATATATTATCACCTCGTTACTTTTAATAAAATAGAAAAACCTCATGATCAATTATATTTATTAATATTAATATAAGAAGTTAACAATACTCGAAACATAAAATAAATAATAATTCTTAAAATATATTAAGATATCAAAACAATAATTGTAAATCTATTTTACAACTCACTCAATACAATCCTAAAAATATATAAGGAATGACAAATGTTTACTTTAATATAATGCGTAATCTAAAATTAATTCATATACTCGCATAATTAAGTATAAAATAATTTATGTAACAAATTGTTCAAAAAAAAACTTGTATTACATGTTTATTATTTAATTATGTTTAGTTTGATTAATCGAACTCGAATTTAATAATCTCATTATGAAACTTAAATTTAATTGAGTACATTAAATAAAACCTAACATGATCCAATAATTAATCTAATTAACAAAAACATAGTTAGTTGGATTCACTAACTAACTATAACCAATTTATACCTGACTCATACCATACAAAGAAAAACATTAGTTAAAAACTAGATCAAT